CCGAATCGACTCGCCACAACTGAACAGTACAATAATTAATATTTATAAAGCCTTTGCACGCGAATCCGAAGCGGCATAAACTAAGAAGAAAGGAGAAAACGGCATGATCGTGGATGTGGGGTGTTCTCTGATACTTATGTCCTATAAGTGGGTAGGACAGAATAAAAGGTACAATGTCGTTGGTGGCGGGCGGTGGACGAGGACAAAGATGCACTCGTCGGCGAAAGAGAGAAGCTTGAGGCCGATCTGGGCAATGTCATTGGTAACACGGACAGCCGAGCGCAGGGCGGTATTTCGCCTGGCCTATGGCGGCCATGGCAGCGCCGAGTGCGTCGATCATGCTAGGCGGAAGCAGAGCCGGCGAGACATGGCCCGCGACCGGAAGTACCAGCCGTTGGCCACCGTAAAGCCGACGCGTGAGATGGTGGTGAGGATCGAAGCCAGCGTGTTGGCAAGGAGCGGCTTGTGGAACGGATATACATTGAGCTTGGCTCCCCAGAGTGTGCGCTCGGGCATCCATGATCGCTGCAGCTAGTATCCGCCGGCCCAGAGCGCTCCCTCGATGGCCTCTTGCACCTCGCGCAGCGTGTTCTGTGACGCCGTCTTCTCGTCATCGTCGCCGACCCACCACGCCCAGGTCGGCGGCGCGCTCTGTGGCCGACTATGAGTCTGTGCCACCCGCGCCTCCGTTACGGAATGGGAGGGCGGGCGGGGGGATTGGGGGGGAGAGCAAGGCTATTATGAACTTTGCTACGGTACGACGAGCATGGTCAGCTTCATGCTCCGGCATCAGAGGGTGTTGGTGGTGATCCGGTGCCGCGTGTAGTTGCCCCGCTAGGCACAACACCGCGCCGTTGCAGGGCAAATGACTCCGGCCATGCAGTGGGGAGGCTCCCGGAGAGCTTGCCGGCCGAGTCACTGGCCATCATGGCGTCCACCAGACGACTCCAAGTCGTCTGGTGGGTGGCGTCGGCGGCCTGGTACAAGTCCATGACGGCTCCGAGCGAAAACACATCGTGGACAGTCTCCATGGGTAAGCGCCGCCCATGGCCTGGGTCGACAAGCCCGGGCGCGCGCTTACCGTCGGCCACGTGGCGGAGTGATGCCGGGTAGAGCTCGCGGATCGGCCGCGCAAGGTCAAAGTCGATGAGAAAGCCGTTGCCGTCGTTGTCAAACACCATGTTGTTGCGGCGAATGTCCCCGTGAACCATGCCGATGCCATGGAGTGCGGCGAGACGGCGTGCGACGTCTTGAAAGTGAGACAAGGTGACCATGGAAGCGTCCGGATGCTCGTCCGACGACTCGTCCTCAATGTCGGTCTTGAAATGGGTGACGAGGACGGCAGTCGTACCAAGCAACGCGTTGATGGTGCGCTCGCAGCGGCGGACGTCAAACGGAGTCTTGACGACCAGAGCACAGGCACACAGCTCAGGTGACGCGACCCTCCATGCGTGCGCGTTGGGCATGCGCGACGTTGATCCCAAGAACCACTTGAAGGCATAGCCGTCGACCACCGCCACGTTGGGGCCGAAACTGCGCGGTGCACGCAGCGGCTCATGCAGCCGGCGGACCATGATGGCGGTGACTTCGGACATGGCCACGGCAAAGCCGACCACGACCGTCACGTACTCGTCGAGGCTGGTGCAGGTCATGCTCGCCACATCCACCGTCAGGATGTGATCGCTTCGGACAAGGTGTGCCGCGAGCTGGAGAGAAGGGTGGGTCGGCGATCCTCTGGCCATGTTGGCTGCGGTGGGAAACTGGCCAGAGAGCGAAAGTACCGATGGGCCGAGCGGGAGGCCAGCCAGAGCCAGAGCCAAAGCGTGCGCGTACGCCTCTACCTGGCCGTTCTTGTGAGACACGCCTGGTTCGTACACGCCGAAGCCAAGGCTCATCTCGGTGGACCGGACGCCAAACAGCACGTCAGCGACAGCGTTCGGCAGAATCGGACGCTCGTGCCACATGCGCTTTGTGAGTCTCTCTGCAACACCTGCAGCGTCGTCAGCTGACCGGGCACCAGAAGTACTCGGGTCGTTCGAGGCACTCCGTGTGCTCCTGACCTCGCGCACACGTGCTGACAAATTTGAATCGGGCTTGACCGCGCGCGACGAGAGCAGCTCGGCTTGGGCTTGCCACTCGTGAGCCTGGGAGAGGAGCCTGTTCTTCAGCCGCTCGCTGTATGCGGTACCAGCCTGGGCGGCGGCAACACTCGCCTCCAGCTCTGCATCTGCGAGCCGTGCCTTGTGCTCGGCGATGGCAGCTGCACTACCCACCGCCGCATCAAGAGCAGCGGCGTGGTCGTGGCAAAAGGCTGCAGCGCGCTCGCACCGCGATCGGATGGCATCAAGCGGCAGAGGCAACTCTGCGTTGGCAGTAGGAACATGGGCCGAGAGCGAGGCATAGAGCTCCGCAACAAAAGCCTTTTCCAGATGGAAGGTCCGCATAGCGTCGGTGTCTAGGCCAACAAGGGGACGAGAGCTCGAGGAAAAGACAAGCGTCCAAAGGTCGTGTGCCACGGAATGCCGCACAGTCTCCATCTCGGCCCGCATGGTAAAAGCTTTGCGGAAAAGTGGAGGTGCAAGCTTGGCATCGAGGGCAGGGGCCAAGTCCAAGTCCTGCAACGCAAGACTGCCATCATCGCTGGAAGAGCTGTTCCCAGGCCAAACCACCAACTCAAGATGGCCCGACACAACCAGAGGAAGAAGGGCAGCAGGATCCGAGACAGGTGATTCCGTCTCGGCGAAACCACCAAACATTGATCGCGAGGCAGGGCCCTTGGGTTGGACAATCCCAATGTGATCGCGAGAAGAGCTGGCAGGTGCACCATTGGCATTCCCCGTGTGCAGACTGGCGAGTTTGCGCATGTTGCTACGCAGAAAGTCGGCGTAGGCAGAGAGCGACGCAATGTCTTCCTCGGAATCGCCGCGACTCTTTCCGTGAGCAATCTTGGCCTCGGCCACTCCGACCTTGGCCTCGGCCACGTCAACAGGATCAGCCTCGCCAGCCTCCAGCTTGGCCTTGGCCACACTCACCTTGGCCTCGGCCACACTCACCTTGGCTCCGGCCACTCCGACCTTAGCCTCGGCCACGTCAACAGGATCAGCCTCGCCGGTCTCCAGCTTGGCCTTGGCCACACTCACCTTGGCCTCGGCCACACTCACCGTGGCTCCGGCCACTCCGACCTTGGCCTCGGCCACACTCGCCTTGGCCTCGGCCACGTCAGCAGGATCAGCCTCGCCGGTCTCCAGCTTGGCCTTGGCCATATTCACCTTGGCCTCGGCCACTCCCACCGTGGCTTCGGCCACTCCGACCTTGGCCTCGGCCACACTCGCCTTGGCCTCGGCCACTCCGGCCTTAGCCTCGGCCACGTCAGCAGGATCAACCTCGCCGGCCTCCAACTTGGCCTCGGCCACACTCACCTTGGCCTCGGCCACTCCGACCGTAGCCTCGGCAACTCCGACCTTGGCCTCGGCCACACTCGCCTTGGCCTCGGCCACTTCGGCCTTGGCCTCGGCCACGTCAACCAAATCGGCCTCGCCGGCCTCCAGCATGGCCTCGGCCACACTCACCTTGGCCTCGGCCACTCCGACCTTAGCCTCGGCAACTCCGACCTTGGCCTCGGCCACACTCGCCTTGGCCTCGGCCACTTCGGCCTTGGCCTCGGCCACGTCAACCAAATCGGCCTCGCCGGCCTCCAGCATGGCCTCGGCCACACTCACCTTGGCCTCGGCCACTCCGACCTTAGCCTTGACCACTTCGACCTTGACATCGGCAGCGACAACCTCCAACTGGGCTTTGCTAAGTTGAGCACCAGCCACCTCTTCCGATGTCACTTCACCTAAGCCATGCCCAATGCGTGCCTTCATCCACCTCTGCACTGCAGCTGTTAATGCAGCCTTCGTCTCCTCTCTGATCTCGACATTGTCGTCCGCACAAGTGAGTGACCGAGGCCTTTACGACCTTTTTTCTGACAGCCCTTCCTGTTCCCCCCTCCCCAACTCATGACCTGGAGCAGCGCGTCCATGCCCCCACAACCACTCAAAGCCATCACGTACAACATGGTGTCCATAACATTTACCACGCTCATGGCGTGACCAATGGTCAGAGACGAGTTATGGTGCCTCCAGCACCTATGCCCAGCCGGTTGGCGCTTGCCGGCCGCTGTCCATTGGCTCGATCGCGCAGCCGAGTTTGTCATCGACTATGGTCTGGAACTTCTGGTCTACTTGGAGTGTATGAGCAACGCCATCGAGTCGATCTGTGCCACATTGCCTGGGCGTTTCTTTGTCATCGACGGTGGTGTCATTACCTTTGTTTCGCAGCCGCGGGGCGCCGGCGCTGGCCGGAGTTCTGGACATCCTTAGCCCACTGTTCGGGAGGCAACAGCCTAGTCATCCGTTTGGATTGCGGTCATTTAGCACAGGGAATGGATAAGGGCTGAGGTAGATGAAGGGGGTGTGGTACACCCTTGAGCTTGGTCGTCTCGTTGCCCCCGATCTGGTGGCCTCGTCTGCACACGGCAGAGGTTCCAGTCGCTCACATGGGCATGGTCATTCGAATCTGATGGGGAGCAAGGGGGTTGCTCCGGAATCAAGTGCAGTGACTAGGCATACCACAACCACACCACCGGCTTGCTGACTACAGCCAGAGCGCTTGCAGTGGAGGGAAGGGGGTGGGGTGGGATGCCAGGGGCAGAGGTCCGGATGCGGCGCTGATCGGGAGCGCGAGCAGCAGCACGGCCACCGGAGCCTGTCGGGAGCAGATCTGCGGAGAGTAAGCGGCAAGCGTGGGGCAAGTGCGTGGCGAGCAGAAGGGGAGCAGGCGACAAGCAGACGAGTGAGTGGGAAGCTCTACTTGGAGGAGGCGTTGTTGACGGCGGGATTGTTGACGGCAGCAGCAGCAGCAGCAGCAGCAGCGGCAGCAGCAGCCGAGCTCTCAGCATGGACTTCGGGCACAAGAGCAAAGGTGTGTGCGAGGGCATCGACTTTGAGCTTGCCGGCTAGAACAGCCTCGATGGACTCGTTGAGGTTGCGGACAGTGTCGGCCAGGCCGCCTGTGGCCGACGCCAGCTTGGAGAGGGCAGCCACCGTGGACCCGGGCACCTGAACCACCTGTTCAGATGCTTGTGACATGGCTCTATGTGTATGTATGTGTGAGTGTGTGAGAGTGTGGTGGCGGTTGTGGTGGCGGTTGGCTGTGGTTGAGGAGGAGGGGGGAGGGGGGGAGGGGGGAGGGGGGGAGGGGGGGGGGGTGTCGCTGCTACCGACACAATTTTTTCACCGCTCCATCTCCTCACCCCCCATATACACCTGCCGTTTCCCCCCGTTTCCCTGTTGGCGCGCAACTTGCCGACTCGGCCAGCTACCGGTGGCAGCGGCAGCGGCAGCGGCAAAGGCGGGAAAGCAACTGCACTTGACCACAGCTTGGGCATGGGCGACCAAGTTCGTATTACGGTGATCGACGGCCCGCCACCTGGCCTCCAGGAGAGCCAGGGCGAGGCTGGGGTTGCAAGCGGGCGGGCGTTGCTGGTTGACCGCGACGGGAGCTGGTCGTCGGTGGTGGTGGCCGTCCTCGCCCGGCTGGGCCACCCGACTGCACCGGAGCATGTCGAAGCGACCCGACTGTACACGCCGCAGGGAGGCGAGTGCGATCATCCTGCCCTCATCCGCCTCGACGATGTGCTGTATGTCGTCGATCCGCTGCTCGACCCGCCTCCGACCTCGGCCATCGTCTCGCCGCCGGCCTCACCCGCTCGGTCATCGCCACCCGATTCGACACCGACAGCCACGCCGCGCTCGCCCATCCGCCCGCTTCCTCCGTCCGAGAACAAGCCGGATGCGTCGTCGCCAAGGAAGCGCGTCACTCCGCGCTCGCCCAAGCCACGCTCGCCCAAGCCGCCACCGTCAGGACTCTCGTCGCCGTCACTGTTGTCGACGCCGCAGCGGACGCCGCGGATCCCGCCGAGCGCACAGATTGCCAACCGCGGTCACTTTTCGGCGGCAAGTGAGGGTGGCGGGACGAGCAGCCGAAAGCAGCGCCGCCAGAGCCAGCGCCGCAGCATCCGCACCGCAAGCAGGGTTGGCGAACGGGTTATCTCGCACTGGACCGCACACTTGGTATGTGATCCCTTTTGCGAGGCTGTCCTCACCACGGCGCTTGGCGACCGGCGTGGCTGCTATGGCTCGTTTCTCTCTACCGTCGATGTGGCGTCCGTGCCGAACAAGCCGACGCTGCGGATCCGATTCAAGTCGTCGCCCAGCGCCCACGGCTCGGCTGGCCTCTACATCCGGACGCTGCTCAAGAAGGAGGCACTGCCGGCAGTGGCGTCGTCGTCGTCGGTGACTACCCAGTTCAAGCGGGCCAATCTCTCGGCAGCCTCGTCGTCGGGCCTCAACGCGACAGCCCATCTCGATGCTGGTCTCGCCTCGCTCGCTCAGGCCCGCTCGCCGTCGTCGCCGCACATGCCACTAGACGCGGCGTCGCAGCGCAAAGCCGACCACACCGTTCGCGCCCTGGTTCGGCGGGCCAACACTGCGCTTGTCCATCTCTCGGGGACCCACCGGGGCTTTGTTCTCTTCCGTGGCCGAATTCAGACACCCGAGTGGGAGGTGTGGAACGCACCGATCTACTTTCACGGCAACTTTCTCGCTGTTGAGCACAAGTATCGCGTCCCGCACACTCTCGCGCCGACGCCGCCGACTGCTGGAAACTCCCACGAGAATGGCAGCGGAAGCAACCGGATTGTCCGCTCGCGGCGGGCCGTCCGCCCGTCGCGTATGTCGCTCCTCCGCTCGTCAGTCGCCACCTCGTCGCAGCCGTCGGATGCTCCCGCCAACCCGCTCTCCATCCTCCGCAACGAGCTTCTTGCGGCGTCGCGGTACGGAGCGCACGCACGGACCGCCGAGTATGCACCCACCGTGCCCGATCGGCTGCTTGCCAAGCCAGCGCAGGGCCTGGCGCCACCTACCGTGGCCGAGAGCACGCTGCTGCAAGGCGAACCAGTCGCCGCCAGCAACGAGAACGTGTCGAGCAATGCTGGCGTGCACTACACAACGATGACCAAGCACAAGTCGCTCCGCGAGTCGGGAGCGAAAGACGTGGTGCTCTCAGCGAGCCAGGCCGAGGACGTGACGTTGATGTACGACCCATCGCCGCACCGGGTGACCCAAATCCGAGTCCGTGCCGGACGCAAGCTCGTGATCAAGACAGCGACGCTACGGCCGATGACGTACGCGTTCCAAGATCACGAGCACACGGTGGCAACGTCGGTGTACGTGGCCGAGGACGTGTTGCACTTGTCGGGCGAGCACGCGTTTGGCCCACATGGCACAGACGCTGAAGGCGACGATTCGCCGTGGAGGCTCCTCTGCCACCATGTGTGGCACGATCCACAGCGCGAGCGCGCTGGGCGGGGTATCCCGATTCCCGGAACAGGCAAGCCGAAGCGGAGGAAAAAGAGGAGGAGGCCGACGCCGACGTACGCGCTCGCCAAGGACGCAACGTCGCGGCTGGCGCGCCGGCGTAAGCGCAACAAGAACATGAGCCGCAAGGCGCGGGCTCCAGTGTACGAGACCGGAACCGTGCGCCTGTCAGGCGACGGGACCAAGACAATGACGCTCAACCTGACGCTCCCGGGTCCGCACACGTACACCTTTTACTGCTGCTCGGGCTCGCTCGTCCTCCATGGCGCGCTGGTCCGGCTCTCGGTGGCAGAGCAGAAGCGGCTGGCCATTGAGGATCTCCACGCCAAGGGCATGCACCAGGTGCTCTCGCTCTCGCGTGCGGTCGGCGAGCACCTTGCGCTGTATGGATACCAGGCTTCACCAGAGCTGCAACCGGAGATTGTCGACGCGCTGACTGATGGCACGTCGGCCAAGCTCGGCCTCTCCCCACGTCCGCCGGCGGGTGCCGGCGCCAATGCGCACATGCCGTGGCGCCACCATCCGCATCCTGCCGCCACTGGAGATGCTCGCCCCGGCGCTGCCGGAGCACATGATGGGTTAACCCTTAGCGGTACGGTCGTTCGGACGCGTTGTCGCGCGTCTCAAAGTGAACAACTCGATCATGCTTGACTTCCAGGTCACCGGCTGACGCTGCGCGACGCCTGCTTGGCCTGCGGCTTGAGGTGGGAGGCGCGCCCGATGCGTGACGGCGGCCGATATGTAGATGCCCGCCTGACGAGTTGCCGTCGCGGTGACGGACGCCTGGGAGCTTGGGCGAGGCGGACGAGGTGCCGTACAGCGCTGATCCGGAGGAGCGGTGGGTGTGGACGGTGCGGAGCTATTTGTTGACGACCCAACGACCGGGAAGGAGAGCGCGAGAACATTGTGGATCTTCTTGCGACGAATGAGTCAGCCGGTCGGTGTGGCCGAAGCCGACATGAAGAGCGAGGACGTGAGGCGGAGGCGCGTGAGGAGCGTCGGGTGCTCGACGTCCTCGCCGGGGCCAGCAACCGCCTTGCTCGTGCCCCACTCGGGGAGCTTGGTCGAGAGCTTGGGATCATCCTTGGCGATGAACGAGACGTCGTCGCCGTCGTCTTTTCGCGCGCGGAGTGGTCCTCGGCCTGCGCCACCTTGTTGACGTTCTCGGCGGCATGAGCGCGGCGCGCGCCGCCTCGGCCTCGACCTTGGCCTCGGCAAGTTTCTCTCGCGCCCTCTTCTCGGCGATCGCGGCCGCCTTCTTCCGCCGTGCCTGAGCCTCAACTCGCCTTACCGTGGCGCCCCGTCCGAGCCTTGCGCTTCGCCTTCCGAGCCTTGGTCGAGGCCCGGGCGGCCTCGTCGAGCGCCTGCTTTGCCGCCGTCACCGCGTCGTCGGCCTTCTTGACCCGCCGCCGCACAGCTTCCAGCACCCGCTCCGCCGCCTTGACTGCGTCGCCGAGCGTGTTCTTCTCCGCACGCGCTTCGCTCGTCTTGCGCGCGGCGTCGAAGGTCTCGTGGAACGAGCGCGCGTCGGCGCCGACGACGGCCTTCCACTCGCCCGCGATGAGCGCGACGTGCGACGACGCAGCGCCGTCTACGACCACCTACGCATGTCGATATACAGAGACGTCGCCCTGCGGCATGTTCGAGTGTAGGTTTGTGTGTTTATGTGTGTGTGTGTGTGGACGGGGTGGAGTGTGCGTGAGTGCGCGAGTCGGAGACCAGCGACTCAACCTTGACCTCGCACTCCTGTAGCTCCGGGTTCTCCTGCTTGATCTCCAACTACGGCGTGTACCGCTACATCTTCATAACAACAATGCACTCGAAATTGAGTTGCCGAAAGGGGAGCCAGCTCAGTCAGAGGAAACGACGCCGAGCTGGGCGAGGAACTGGAAGACGATGGCAGCGAGGGTAAAGACAATGACCGAGCCAAGGAGAATGTTGGTGAGAGTGGCAGAGCGCTTGAAGGGGCGGAGGAAGCGCGGGAGGGCATTGACCGGCGTGACAAAATAGTCGTACGGGTTGGCCATGAGCAGGCCCTTCTCGGCATTGAGCGAGCCTGGGGTCATGAGCAGCGCCTTTGCGGCGGCGATGGACGGCTCCGAGCCGATGGAGGAAATGGATTCGATAGACTCTGCGCGTGTGCGAATAGAATCTGTCCCACCACCGGCTTGCTTGTGCTCTGCGTAGCGGAGGCGAGCGGTGCGGTAGAGGAGCATGGGCAGGCCAAAGTTGATGAACGAGTTGACGATGAGCGAAGACCAGGCGACAAAGAGCTCAAATCCGTTGCCCGAGTAGAGCGGCCAGGAGATGAGCCAAGGGAGGATGACGCCGAGGAAGGAGGCCATCTTTGCGCCGCAGACCTTGGAGACGTACAAGTTGTATCGGATGACGATGGAGAAGAGCGGGATGCCGAGGCCGATGACGGCGAGCGAGAAGATGTAGGCGGTGAGCTCGGTGACGAGCGAGCCGGACGAGGCAAAGGTGGTGAGGACGTTGCCGGCAACGTCCGGGTACGCCAAAGCGCCAACGTAGCCCATAACAAAGTAGCCGACGGTGGTGAAGATGCCCGAGTTCCAGATGGTCTTGTTGATCGAGACCGAGTCCAGCTTCTCATTGACCCACGAGGGCACGGTTACGACAAAGGTGTAGTTAAAGAGAATGGTGCCGATGACCGAGGACATGTTTGAGCCGACAACCGGCACGCGTGAGGTGTCGAGGTCTCGGAGCAGGTAGGTGACAAAGAAGATGATCATGCCGGCGACAAGAATGAGGAACGAAAAGTACTGAAAGTAGATACCCTCGGAGAGATTGAGGAAGCCAACCGGGAGGCAGATGATGGTGACGACGGCGTAGCCGAGGGTCACCACTACACCGACGCCCGAGAACGGGGTGGCCAGATCTGTGGACTCGACCCACGAGCCCGACTGGACGGCGAGGGCGTACGACTTGCCAAAGACGCGGATGAAGAACTGGTCCATGACCTGAGCAGTCACAATGATCGAGGCCACATTGAGCGTCTGCAACGACATGGCGTACACAGCCTGGGTCACCAGGTACGCCCGATGGCCGTAAAAGTGGGCCACAATGCTCGAGTACTCATACCGCTTGCCGAACCGTTCGTTGCCCGGAATAAGCGCCATGGCCTCACACAGCAGCGTAGCTGAAAGCGACGCCAGCACAAACATGATGAGGAGGAAGATGGCCGGCACCAGCCAGCCGGCCTGCTGGAACACAATGGGGACGGCGAGCATACCACTGGGCGTGTGTGTTGGGAGGGGGGAGGGGGGAGGGGAGGTGAGTGGGAGGGGGGGGGGGGAGGAAGGGAGTGGGGGTAA